GCTGGCTGGGGAATTCTGGGAGCTGAAGTCCACACATCTTAAAGTGGCCAAGTTTGAAAAATAGTGATCTAGGGGAACGCTTGTCTCGTTCTTTTTGCTTTTCCTTTTAATACTGAGGAGGGAGTAGCTTCCCCTGCCTCTCACGTGGGCCTCTGACCGGGCAGAGGTGGCAGAAGAAGGCAGCAGGTGATGGGCGAGGGAGTTGCTGACCCTCCCTTCCCCTGCCGTGTGGTCTGGGAACGGCTTTGACTCATCAAAGTGCCTCTCGCTTTCCCTCTCGTAGTTCTCCACGGCTGTGCTGGTTGGCTTGTATCTCTTTGAGCACTTCCCGGGCCTCGTGGTAGGCGTGGGCCTCTTTACCAACCTGGTGTACTTTGGATTACTGCAGACCTTCCCTTTCATCATGCTGACCTCTCCAAACTTCATCCTGTCCTGCGGTGAGTGCCTCGGCGTCTTCGTCTGTGGTGCTAAGGGGGGCAGCTGCACCTTTGCACCTTGCCAGCGTGTTGAGAGTCTCTGGTTGTGCCACTAGGTTTGCTGCTCTGCTGCCTGAGGACCCAGCTGCAGCGAAGCCCCTTGGTGCTTGCTCCCCACTCTGCCCCAGCCCCAGGAAACAGATCTCTGTTCTGCTGTTGTTCTGATGTAGGCTCTGTTGTTGTTTCCGATAACGAGAGAAGGTCACCTCTTGAGGACCAGATTAATTCTGCTGGAGACAGAAAGTCTTGACAGCTTGAGGGGAAGGGGGGGTCCCCCCGTGAGATGTGTAACTGCCCAGAGCTTTTGTGATGGCACTGAAGGCTGGATGATGAGATCCAACAGCAATATAATCCTTCCTCTGTTTGGGGCGGGGAAATTCCCCCACATCCCCAGCTCTTGTTTCACCATCCAGATTCCCTGACTAATCAAGAGTGGTGGGCAGTGAGATTTCCCACTAATCTGAGGAAGGGCAAATGCTAAAATAGGTGAGCTAAGCCTGCCTGCTGCCCTGCAGCAGGGCAGTGGGGAAGAGAGCGAGATCCATTTCTCGAGGAAGGCTTCTTCCAAGTGGGACACTCGTTCTATACTGAGGGAGCACAAGTAGTCCCTTCCATTCCCCCCCCCCCCGAAATTTAGACTGGTTGCGCCTTGGAGCAAGGACCCATAGTTCTGCAAACATCAGATTTACTGAAATAAGGACCCTGCCTCAGTGCTGTTACTTCTTTGCCTTGCTTTGTTTTTGCATCGCTTGACTGCTTCTCTCAGTCTTGCTTCAGAGACTTTGTAATGTTTACGGGGTTTGTCTGAGAGGCAGGGGTAACAGGGACGGCAGAGAAGGTGGGTATGACTGAGAGTGTATCATGCTGCAGGTAGTCAAATGTTCTGTTGCAATCAGGGCTAGGAACACACTTTCTTTTAAAGAGAGCAGAGATCCCTTGGAATCTAAAAATCAGGAGGAGTCTGGTAGCGCCTTTTCCGATGAACAAACTTTATTATAAGGCATACGCTTTTGTGAGCTGCAGAGCCCTCCTGAATTTTTGCTCTCGTAGGCCGCTGTCTCTGTGACACGGTTCTCTTCCTGCAGTGATTTGGAATCTAAGGGATGTCCCAGATTCCTTTGTGTGCTGACGGGAGCAGCTCAGAATTGTAAGCACTTGCTCTGTTTTTCCCCTTTGGCAGTGCTGGTTGTGCTGAATCACTATCTGGCATTCCAGTATTTTGCAGAAGAGTATTATCCCTTCTCAGAGGTAAGAGATGTCTCGGCTGGGGTAGGGAGAGGGAGGGTTACTGTAGACCACAAGAATTGCTCTTCTGAAGGTTGATCTCTGAGCCCCATTGCAAAGAGGCCCCTTGGAAGATCTGTGCTGTATTTTCTTCTGTACTTCAGAAAACCCCCTTTCCTGGGGCCTCAAGGGACAATGCTAATCTGAGCTGCTCAGATCCCTGGCCCGTGCCCAGAAGCCCCTGAGATCAGTAGCGGCTGATCTTTTCCCACCAATATAGGGGGACAGTTTAGTACAGGTCCAGCTGGGGAGGCAGGCTTAGGCGCGCATCTCAGATCCCATCTCCCCCACCCTTTGTTTGCCACACTAAGCGAAAGTGGGCCTGACTTCCTGTAACCAGGGGGCCCACAGAATGGAGTCACCCAAGCTGTCCTGACGTTTGTGGCTGTGGCAGAGGTGGTGGCTCATCGACGGGCTGAGGGGCTGGTCACAAAGGCCGTGGGCTTGGAGGTGGCTCTCTAGGATGGGGGCTGTGGTGGCTGGGATCGCTTGGGAAGGGGCTGGTTGTGGCTTGTCTGATGCTTTTTCTCCCTCCCCGCCCCCGCCAGGTTCTCGCCTATTTCACTTTCTGCCTCTGGCTCATCCCCTTTGCCTTCTTCGTTTCCTTGTCGGCTGGCGAAAACGTGCTGCCTTCCACGGTGCAGCCTGGAGGTCAGTTCTGTAGGCAGATCCCTTGTGCCAGGGAAGGCGTGGCGGCCCCACCCAGAATTCCCATCCAGCACAAATAGGCAGTCATTTTACTTATCCTCAGAGTTAATTGTGAGTCTCTCCAAAAGGGGAGGGGAGAGGAGGAGAGCAGCTATGGGCTGTGGCGGTTGGCATCAAGGGACTGTGGCTGTGCTTGGCATTTGGCTCTCTCTTGCCCTGCGGGTTTCCGTGTCTTCCGTGAGCTGCCCCTTGAGGAACCAGGCACTTGCCTTAGTAGGGCCCGTGGGGTGTGGGGGAGAAGCGTTTTCTTCACAGTGGGCAGAGCAAATGCTGGGGAAGGAGGGGTGGAAGGCGCTGTCCCCGGCACTATCTTGTTATGTCGGCGCTGGCTTTCATTTGTCTCTTTTGCAATGTCTCCTCAGACGACGTGGTATCCAACTATTTCACGAAAGGGAAGCGTGGGAAGCGTTCAGGCATCCTTCTCGTCTTCTCCTTCATCAAGGAAGCCATCTTGCCCAGCCGACAGAAGATGTACTGATCTCGCCCCCCCGCCCCTCCCCCCAGTTTGTCTTCTGGCCACACACAAACCCTCCTCCCAAAGAGGGTGACATTTCTGAGCCTCGGTGTTCCCCTCGCCCTTATGTCGATCTGTTTGGGATGAATAAACTGGGAAAGGTGCTGGCAGCCCCTGCCATGTGGGGAGCCGGCCCTTTAGATCCCTCTCCTTCCTTTAGGCGGTTTGCGAAGGGGAAGAGGCCAAGGCAGGAGGGCCCCCCCCCCCCCCCCC